TACATTTTATGCATTTTTATGAACTAACTAATGAACCAACAGTTGCAGCGAAATGTATCAAATGTCCCTGCGGTTCGAATATGATGTGAGAGAAAGTCAGACCCCAGACCTTTTTCTGTCCTTTACTGTCTTTTCTGTGCTTGTAGGCCCCTAAATGCTTTCCTTTATCAAAAAAATATCCCCTGAATAAAAGAAACCTTCAGTGACATTGAGCATAAATTCATATTCATAGAATCTTCCACAAAACAAAAACTGCAGTGTGTAAACAAACACCGTATTAAAGGTGATTGAGGAAGACACTGATTTAACTCAGCATCCTGAGAGGCTAAATGAAAATATTTCTCGGAAAGATTAATAGATAATTCACTTAAAAATCAAATTACAGCTCCATATCAACATCCCCCCCAGATTACTAAATGAAATGGTAAATGGCTGCATTGATACTGTTCCACAAAGGCATAAAATAAACAAGAAATGTCTCTACTGTGGCACATGTACAGTAGTCTCGAGCTATGGACCCCAATAATGAGTAAAATTAACTGTGAATATGATGCTAAAACTGCTACATAATTATCTTTTTGAGAAAAAGGAAAACTTCAGGTAGTAGTTTGAAGGAGTCTTATACAGATCTATGTATGGAATTACCTGATAGATGAGGCACATAACAGTGATTTCCTGTATTGGTAAACTATTTCTTTAAGGGCATGAGAAGAGCGAGGTTTGTTTTCACTTTTGTTTTGTAAGAAACATCTGTGCTCTGACATGTTGTCAACACTTGCCAATTATACAGTCTACAGCGCGCTATTGTTTTCTCCACACAATTAACCCTGTGTCACCGTCCTTACCTGACACGCCATTTCAAAACCAAGGATGGCTTCTAGTGCACACAACCTGTTTATCTAAGGCTTCTTCTTGTCCAGTGGGGTTTTTTCAGGGCAGTTGTGGTTCCGGTTCAGGCTCCCCCAGTCCAGCTGAAATGTCCATGGGCAAGGCTGCTCACTATGGTTGTGCAGTGTGGGTGTGTGTGCTTTGTATCATATCATATCATCGTGGAAACTGATAAGCAGTTTGGCAACCTCAGCGATCAGTGTATGAATGTATAGTGTTGTAAAGTGGTGAGTTGTACCAGAAAAGTGGTGGAAAAATACAGCAAGCATGCCTTAGACACAAAATTGAATACATTTCAATTTAAAAAGGTTTGTCGAAGTATGTTATATAGGCCTAGTTTTAGTAATTAATGTGATTACTCCTTCCCCATGTACCAAGGCTGAGTCCTTGC